TGGTACTTATTCGGAACTCCTCCCTGGTGATCCTAATGTCCAGTCAAGGCTGAGAACCACGTGCTAGAGGCGTGAACTCGGGCAAGCAAGGTTAAGGGAGAGTGCCGAAGATGGTCCTGAGCGTAGGCTGACGATGCAGAGGTCTTGCTTCTCCGACATGATTCTGCAAGCACTCCAGAAGACGAGGGTAAAAACTTCCTCGAGTTGAAGAAAAGACCCAGAGCAGCGATGATGACTGACAGGCTGTTTTTTTTTTTTTTTTTAACGTTTATTTTATTTTTGAGACAGAGAGAGACAGAGCATGAACGGGGGAGGGCCAGAGAGAGAGGGAGACCCAGAATCTGAAACAGGCTCCAGGCTCTGAGCTGTCAGCACAGAGCCCGACGCGGGGCTCGAACTCAAGGACCGCGAGATCATGACCTGAGCGGAAGTCAGAAGCTTAACCGACTGAGCCACCCAGGCGCCCCGACAGGCTGTTCTTTGAATGGATCCTGTCTTGAAACCAGTGCAGAGAGTAGCTTGGCAGGACCTTCGCTGTTGGGTGCTGCCTCCGGGGCAAAAGCAGTGTCTGGAAGTGGGAAGGAGAAGCCTATACAAATGTGAGTGTGTGTTCACTTAATGGAATTAGTTTTTATTTCTCATTTGAAAGAATAATTGTTTCATGACTTTGTGAATTTTCTTTCTGCCTGTGCATTCATCCTTTCATACATGTCTCCCATTAAGATATGAAACACGAATAGAAGATACTTAAACTACCATGGAAGCTTTGAACTATTTTTTTTTTTTTAATGTTCATTTATTTATTTTGAGAGAGAGCCTGCATGTGTGAGCGGGGGTGGGGGGGAGGAGCAGAGAGAGCGAGAATCTCAAGCAGGCTTGGTGCTGTCAGCTGAATCAGATACGGCTACAGGGCTCGATCTTACAAACTGTGAAATGGAGACCTGAGCCAAAATCAAGAGTTGGGTACTTAACTGGCTGAGCCACCCAGGCGCCCTGAACTGTGTTGTTAATTTACTGACCCATTTTCAGCACATGTTCCTGGGGTCTGTGTTGGGGGCGGGATAATGGTGAGCAAGATGTGGTCCTAGGCGTGATGAACTAGGCTGTTAGTGACTAAGTTTGGGAAGTAGGCTAGCTGTGAATAAATAACTGTAGTTGTATTAGAGTTCTCCAGAGAAATGGAACCAGTAGGGTGGGAGGATAATAGGTAGGTAGATAGATATAAGAAGAGATTTATTATGGGAATTGGCTCCTTCAGTTAGGAGGCAGAGAAAGTCCCATGATCTGCCCTCTGCAAGCTGAAGAACCAGGAAAGTCAGTAGTGTCATTCAGGCCCAAGGCCTGAGCGGCAGCGGGCGGGAGGTGGGGCGTGGTTGGTGTTAAGTCCAGAGGTCTGAGAGCTACACGAAGACGTGGAGAGAAAAACATTTGCGGGAAGTGACCTGGAGAGAGGTGGGAACATGAATTGTTTGGCTACGCTGGATGAAGCTCTGAGCAGTGATGATTCTGCCACGTCACCGGGTGAAGCTGATGCAAAGTGGAATCATCTGTGGCTCCAGGAAATGACAACCGTTTCTCTGGTTTTCGTTTTCATTTTTTTAACATTTATTCGTCCTTGAGAGACAGAGCGAGGCAGAGCATGAGCAGGGGAGGGGGGGAGAGAGAGACACACACACGGAATCCGAAGGAGGCTCCAGGCTCTGAGCTGTTTGTTGGCACAGAGCCCAACGCGGGGCTCAAACCCACAAACTGCGAGACCATGACCTGAGCCGAAGTCGGAAGCTCAACTGACTGAGCCCCTCAGATGCTGGTTTTCATTTTAAACTTGACGGAAGTTCACAGTTCACAGACGAACTTTTTGGCCATTTTTATCGAGCAACTTACAGCATATTTTGTGCAGCTCTGAATTACTGCATATTTATTTAACTTTGGGGTAGCAGCTCCAGAACGGTAAATTTGTTTCTAACTATTGGCTGTATTCAGTTGTGCAATCATGATGAAAACAGCGATCAGGCGTTATTTCTGACCTCCTTTCTCTCCTGTCCTTAATTTTCCTCTTGCTCAGGTGCCTTAGTCAACCACGTGGCAGTTTCACAAAGGCTTTGGTGTTTTCAGAGAAGATAGTTTATTTAGATGTCTATTGTAGTAATTAGGAACTTCACCTTCAGGTAGACAGAACCTACCATTTATCTATTTTTGACTTTGGCAAAAATAATGGGTAGTTCTTGTGAAAAATTTAAACTGGAAGTTGCATCACAGTGAGTTAAAATTTTGTGTTTGTCACTGTCTTTTTCACTTTTTTTCAATTAGGTTGGCATCATGTAGCCATGCTAACTCTGTTAGACCTTACCCACCCAACACTCACCATGGTCTTTCTCCCTCCTTCTCTCTCCTTTTCTTTCTTTTTCCCTTTCTTCATTACTTTTAACATGGGGATCTTCTGTTTCTCCCTGGACCGGAGATCAAGGTTTGGGCTGCAGCAGACCCCTTTTCATTCCAGGTACACATTGCTTATCAATAGCATTATTTTTTCAGACCTATACTTAATCATTTTCAAGTCCAGTGCTCCGGGGAGCCGCTACCAAGATGTGGAAGTCTGGTAGAAAACTCTGTAAGAAGCCTGGCCAGAAAACCCTTATCCACATTCTATTGGAACAATATTCCAGACTATGAGAGTCAACTGGGGTAGTCTGGGCCTCACCTGGCCTTACTGAATCAGAACCTTCAGGGGAGCAGCTAGGAAACTTGGTTCAGTTCAGCTGTGTTGAAGGGTTTTACTGTTTGTCCTGAACAGCGTTTTGGAGAACAAATGTATACACAAACATCTTCCGATTCTCATTGAGACAAAATTTCCTCCTACTCAGGACATTGCTGCAAATAATTTCACTTTCAAAATACTAGCCTTATCTATGTACTTAGTATGAGTTTGCCCGGGAAGCTTTATGTCAAGGTTATAGGAGATGGAGTGCCTGATGATTTTGAGAATGGTCGCTATAAATATATGATAAAGTGGTACAAGTGACTAGTGTTAAGAGTTAAGTAAACAAACCCAAGTTCCACATCCTTATCCAGTTAAGCTGATGAGAATGTAATCACCTGCCTTTGGAATTCAGTTCAGGTGCAATGGAACTCTCACATGGCAATTGAAGAGGGTAGACCTAAGGTCAGTGAAAGGATTCCTAAGATACTACGTCTTACTCTACCCCAAAATCACTTACTTTAAAGCATGTTAATAGGATTCTAGCTATAAAGCAAAGAAGTCACTCTAGCAAAAGAAAAAAAAATTATCATTGGGAAGATCCCTTTCTTTTGTACAGTTTAGAAGTGCTATATTGCCCATGAAAATATTTGTTTGGTTTTCTGGCTATTCATGCATTTGCCGAAGTACCTTTTTAAATAACTTTTTTTTTTTTCTTTTTAGTTATTTTTGAGAGAGAGAGAGAGAGAGAGCATGAACAGGGGAGGGGTAGAGAGAGGGAGACACAGAATCTGAAGCAGGCTCCAGGCTCTGAGCTGTCAGCACAGAGCCCAACACTGGGCTCAAACTTACAAACCGTGAGATCATGACCTGAGCCGAAGTCAAGAGTCAGACGTTTAACTGACTCAGCCAACCACATGCCCCTAAATAACTTTTTTTTTGTTGTTTACTTATTTTTGAGAGACAGCATGCTTGTGAGTGCAAGCATGAGTGGGGGAGCGGCAGAGAGAGTGGGAGACAGGATCCGAAGCAGGCTTGTGCTGACAGCAGAGAGCCTGGTAAGGGGCTCAAACTCTAAAACCCTGAGATCATGACCTGAGCGGAAATCAAGAGTCCAGTTGAACGCTTAATGGACTGAGCCACCCAGGAGCCCCGCCAAAGTACCTTTTCATGTGTTTTATTCACTACTGAAAAAAAATCAAGTTTTCCAGTCTTTTTTTTTTTTTTGAAAATAGTCACAATAAACTAAATGTAAACTGTAGGGCAGTTTGTCTTCAATGCTAGGCATTATTAATGTGCTGCTAATTAGACACAGCCACTTTCCATGCTCAGTCATCACCTCCCAGCTTCAATGCTGGAATGTGACTTAAATTCTGAGGACCATATTCTTTTATTCCTAAAGTCTCAATGCAAGAAATGTCTTTAACGGTGCTCTGATAGGGGCGCACAGGTGGCTTAGTCAGTTAAGCGTCCGACTCTTGGTTTCAACTCAGGTCATGATCTCACGGTTCATGGATTCAAGCCCCACATCCAGCTTTGTGCTGAGGGTGTGAAGCTTGCTTGGGATTTCCTGTGTCCCTCTCTCTGCCCCTCCCCTGCTCATTTTCTCTTTCTCTCTCTCTCTCTCTCTCAAAATAAGTAAACATTTAAAAAAATAATAAAAGTGTTCTGATAGCTTGTTCTTTAAAGCGTCTGAGGGTTGATGGAGGGAGGTGGGTGGGGCTGGGCTAAATGGGTGATGGGGATTAAGGAGGGCCCTTGTGATGAGCACCTGGTGTTGAATCACTAAGTTCTACACTTGAAAGCAATTTTACCATATGTTAACTAGAATTCAAATAAAAACTTGAAATCAAAAATTTTAATATAAAAAATTGTGCTCTGGTAATGTTGCCTGTAATGCTAGCCAAATGGTCAAAACAAAGGCACATTCTTTACCACAAATGACACCCTGTAATTGTATCTGCACAGCCTGTGTGGGTTTCAACTGGTCTCCCTGCCACCCTCTACCCCCTGTCGTGTTGGTTACCCGTCTCCTATATTGAGCCCATTGCTTCATGATGTTACCAGCTGGAGATGTTGTGTTCTACAAACACAAACCACCTGGTGAGAGAAAAGTTATGTTGGCACAGAGTAACTCACTGTTCCCCATACTGTGCACTGAGTATAAGGTGATAGAGGAACAGGAGTCAAGGACGTTTTATATGTGGTGAAGGAGAAAACTTGGGGATAAGCATGTTTATTTTCTCTGTTGTCCTATGGTTTTCAGGATAACTGATGGTATTTTCCCCCCCAAATACTGTAGGTAGCCCTACTGGAGAACCTTGTGGAAAGACTTGTCTGGAAGAAAGAGACAATCAGTGGTTGGGGGTCACACTTTCCAGACAGCCAGGAGAAAATGGCTCCATCGTGGTACGCTATTGGGATTAGTCCACTCAGAAAATCAGGGGATCAGATATTCTGGGTGTGATGTTCACATCATTTGATCTATGTTTGTGTTTTATTCAGGCTTGTGGGCATAGATGGAAAAATATATTTTATATAAAGAATGAAAATAAGCTCCCTACGGGTGTTTGCTATGGAATGCCCCCTGATTTACGAACAGAACTGAGCAAAAGAATAGCTCCGTGTTATCAAGGTAAGGAATCATTTTGGTACTACCTGGATCAAGAAAAACAAGTGAATGCCTTTAATATTTTTTTAATTTTCAATTTTGCATATGCAGAGAGAGGAGAAGAAATCTTATTAAAATAGCTGTATTTTTAACTACTCAAGGTATTTTTTATTCAATTGCGGTAGTGTGAGTGCAAAAAATGTGCTTTGTGCTTTTAGGAATAGAAATTTGTACGGTTACATTTGAGTAATTCTAGAATTTAGTTGATAATTACCCACTTTTGCACTAAACATATTTTGAACTCCACATGAATGAGTCTAATGTCCAGAATATAGAGGACACTTAAAATCATGAAATTATGATGAAAAACTTGAGATTGAAAAGTCTGGGAAGATGAAAACTGTTTAGATTTCTTGTTTTATCTTTAGCCTTCAAGAATATTTAGAAAGATTTAAGTGTAAGTGTAAGCAAATCTTTCCCACTCACTGTGTCTTTATTTTTTTAATTCACCAATCCCTTGTTGTTTCAAGGAATATATGTATCTTAACTTTGAAAATTTTTCCCATGAAAATTCTAGATTGTTAGGTAGCAGTAGTGTAAGCAGAGTTGGGACATTAACACCTGAAGTGAGCAAAATTAGGGGTGAATGTCAACAGAACATTAAAACCTATCTTAACAGAACTAAAATTCTAAAAATGTATCCTTGGAAAACTCAGAATTAAATGTATATGCATTCCATTTTCCACTTTTTCTAACCAAAATGATCACTACAGTGTCCAAATAACCTTTCCCTTACCTGACAAAATTTTGACCATGCATGCAAATTCAGTTATTCTGTTAACTTTGGGGTCTTCTGTGGTATGGGATGTCTTGGAAAAACTCCTAATCTCTAATTGGCCTTTGGACATCCAAGAAGACAAAAGGTGAATTTTAAATTCTTAATGAAGTGAAACACAGTCTAGTGTTCTGTATGTTTATCCTTCTCTTTTTCTCCGGAGTGTATGGTTGACACTTTAAAACCTTCTCAGAGTAGAATTTTGTGCTGTTGTTCAGTTATACCCAGCCACATCCTGCAAAACATTAAACTTACCTTGAACTTAAAACACCTAAAACTATGAGGAAATTTATTTTTAAAAAGGGTGGGGGATATAAAAAGGAGTGAAAAATCATGCCAAGGACTATTAATTACAAATGACTTAATGGATTTAACTCTTCCAGTTAGCAAAGCCAAAACAAGGATGTGGGCCTGATTCTTCTATCGAGGTTTACTTACATCCGTTCCCTGGGAGAAGCAGAGCATTGTCTTCCCAGTAGGTTCCAGAAGCATCCAATTCATGGGTAGTGGGAGACCTGAGCTGAAGTTGGCTCTTCAACTAACTGAGTCACCCCAGGCACCCCAGGAAGTCTATTTTAATGCAGACCTGGACTGGAAGACACAAATTCTACCCCTGTCTTAGATACTCACTTGACAATTTTTTTGAGTGTATGCTGCATGTTCTTTCCATGAGAAAGAGGCAGAGGTAGCTGTTTTTATTGCTATTTTGCAGGAATATTTTGGGGGATTAATATGGAAGAGATTTTTTATCTTAAATTTTATCAAAACTACTATCTTAAAAATGGGTTAGTATAAAATATAGACTCTAAAAGGTATGTTAGTAAGGATTTATAAGATAAACAAAATTATGCAAATTTTGTCTTTTTCAATGAAATCCTGAATTGTTTTTTGTTTTGTTTTTTTACTTCATTTTAGATTATGTGAGAAAATTTGGAGAAAATTTTGCATCATGTCAAGCTGGAATATCTAGTTTTTACACTGAGGTAATAGCTCCTAAAATACAGAATTTTAATTCCTAAGATTCAGACTTCTGGTTTACAGGTGTTATGCTTTATGGTAAAAATTGTATAACACCTAAATAATAGTTTTCTTAAATTTGAGTATATTACAGCTTAATTTTCAACACTCAATATTCAACGTATTTTGAAAACCGGTTAATACTTAAGATGGCTGTGTCACGCAAGACCAACTAAAAGTCTACACTAAAGAATATGCCTTGCATCAAAAATTTAATAAAAATAAAAGGAAGCTATTGTTATTTGCTTTAACTTATACATTTAAAATATTCAAATATGTTTTTAATTACTAGTTGAGGGGAAAAACATATGAATCCACATCTTTCATTAAAATTATGAGAATTGAGAGATTGAAGAATTTAATATCCTTTTAAATTAGACGTATTCCCAAACTCTGTTTTTCTCTAACACTCCAGGCAGGATATACAATCAAAGATCACAGTTGTATTCAACTTCCAAATCTCCCATTTTACCTTCAAAACCCATTAGGAATTTCTGAATGTTTTCTGGATCTATGCAGTCAGACTATCAAGCGTTGAGTTAACAATTTCCATAAATATTACCTAAAAAAAACCACTTTATACTTAAATTGACCTTTTTATAAGGTCAGGATCATTTAGGAAATTTAGAAATATGTTAAATGGGTTTGATCGCTATAAGTTCTCATATTTCACCAAATATATCTGTTCATTCTGACTTTACTTTTGTTTCCTTTTCCTAAATTTGTATTTATCGTCAAATATGCCCCCAAGTTCCATTGGATTTGTTTTTTTTCTAAGCTAACGTTGTTAAGGAAACTAGTCACTGACTCTTAGCAAATAGGAATAAATTAAATCCACTTTTTACTCTTTAGCAACACGTGACTATCTCCATAATAAGCACTAATGAATTATCCAGATGCGATTCACTTGATTAGAAACCACATTACCTGTCTCCCAAAAGCTTTCTCTAGTATTCCATGATTTTTTCTTCAATTTTAAGGTTCACTGATGAGTGTGAAGGGAGAGTTTCTTCTATGAGATTGTGCTTGTAGGTGAAAATTCATTAGCTAGCTTCTCTGGCTTTTTTTCTGATATGTTTTTAAATTCATAAAATGCTCAGATTTTAGAAATGTATTATCAAAACGTATTCTTGTCACTACTTAAAATGTATATTTGGAGGAGGTTTTGAGTGGATTAAACTTTGAAATGATGATAAATTGTTTTTTTTCTTACAGGATTTAATTGTGATGGGAGCCCCAGGATCATCTTATTGGACTGGCTCTCTTTTTGTCTACAATATAACTACAAATAAGTACAAGGCTTTTTTAGACAAAGATAATGAAGTAAAATTTGGAAGTTATTTAGGTACTGTAAAAATGGACAAACTCCAGTCCTTTAGGTCTTATAGATACTATTTCTCGTACTTATGATTACTAGTCTCTTCAAAAGATCAAAATGGCCAATAGCAATTAAAGAGTTTATAAACTGTCGCTTTAAGGATATAATCGATGAAACTTTAACTTAATGATTGTAATTATATATGTTAAATATTAATATTTACTTGTTAGACTAGAGAACTGGTTTAGTTTACTCTTACAAGCTTGTATCTTGATGCAGTAAACATGTTATCGTAAAGGTTGCATCTATTGAGTGCTTACCGTATCCAAGGAACTTTTGTTTTTAATTTTATTTATTTGAGAGAGAGAGAAAGAGAGAGAGAGAGAATAAACATGTGGGGGAGGGACAGCGAGAGAGAAGAAGAGCGAGAATCCCAAGCAGGTTCCATGGGCTCTGTGCTGACAGCAATGTGGAGCTCAAACTCACAAACCATGAGATCATGACCTGAGCCAAAATCAAGAGTCAGAAACTCAACCAACTGAGCTACCCAGGTGCCCACCAAGGAACTTTTATAGGCATTCGACACGAATTCATTGAATCATGTATGAGTAAGTGTAGTTTCTTAAAAGACCAGCTGAAAGTCAGTGGGACTATCGACAGCATTCTACACAATGAGTAACATTATGAAGCATACGGATCTAAAAACAGCTCATTGACCTTAGCCTCATATGTTCTTAGAAAATATTTCCCAGAGTTTATTCTTGTCTTTCTCCTTCCTCTCCTCTTCCTCCCCCTCCATTGCCTCCTCATCCTGTGTAGTAGGACACTTTATAGTCTGTATTTCTACAGAAACCCAAGATTTCTCAGCATTGATTCCTGTTACAGTAAAAAGGGATGCTTTTCCCATAGCTTTTTAGAAAATACAGATTTGTTAATCATATGTGCTTCAAATGTAAGCAACCTATACTCAGAAATAATTACAATAAGAAAAAGCGGTGTTATTTTTTCCCATTCATACAGTAAGAATTCTTTTTCAAACAGAGGGAATTTGCTTACAATTCAACATTTACTTGTTTGTGGTTGAAGTATATCTTGAAGTATTATAAGAAATATAACTTAGCATTATGCCTTTTGTCTTATAACAAAATATCTTACCATTTGTGTCCTCATATGGTTTTATCACTGTAGGAAGATTCCATGGTGAAAGAGTTGAAGTTTAGGGAGTTTTTGCTTAAAGTTTAACATGTTAAATTTTAGATCTCTAAGATATTTCACTTGTAATACTAGAAGCTAGCATATTCTGGTACTACATAGAGACCAACAGACCAGATGTAAAAGTGCTGTCTTTAATTTCTAGGACTTGGAAATGAAAGCCATGTGCCTAGCTTCATAACACAGACTAATAATTGCTTAAAGCATATGATAACAGTTTTGAATATTGCTATGCTAAATATTCTTAAAACCGTTTAGTGTAGTCTTTGGAATTCAGTCTCATTTGATTCTGTGAATGGATTTATGATGATATATTTTACCCATTGCAAATAATGATTCCCATGGTTGTTGTCCACTTTCTTTGAAGGCTACTCAGTTGGAGCTGGTCATTTTCGGAGTCCGCATACTACCGAAGTAGTTGGAGGAGCCCCTCAACATGAACAGATTGGTAAAGTAAGAATTACATTTTTACATTAATTCTTGACAAAACTTCAAGGAAACTGCATGAGAGAATGAGATACTAAAGGAGAAACTGCAAAAATTCTAAGGAATGAAAACTAAAAGTGATGAGCTGTGCACTGCCTTTTATGGTGAAAGTTGTATGGCTTTTAGATTAAATTTAACAGAAAAGCTTAAAGGAAAATTCTGAAAGTCAAATTGAGGCTTTTCTTTCTTTAAACAAAATTTTTTTAACATTTTTTCATTTTTGAGAGAGACATAGTGTGAGCGGGGGAGGGGAAGAGAGAAGGAGACACAGAATCCAAAGTAGGCTCCAGACTCTGAGTTGTCAGCACAGTGCCCGATGCAGCCTGATGCGGGGCTCAAACTCATGAACAGTGAGATCATGATTTGAGCCAAAGTCGACGCTTAACCGACTGAGCCACCTGGGCGCCCCAGAGGCTTTTCTTTCTTGTGAGTAAATTGTTTTTGGGGAAAAAAAAAGATCTCAAGATGTCTAGGGAATATATTTACTGGTTACCACGTTTCTAGGTGAAGGGATATTGAGCGAGCTGTATGTTTTGTGTAAGACCAGAAAGAATCAGATGTTCTTTCTGGTTCTGGGTTTTTGTTCCATTTTAGTGTGGACATCACTAAACTTTTCTGAGCCTTACTTTGGAAAGTGAGGCAAGCAGCACTTTGTGCTCTAAGGGATCAAGACCGTAGTCCCTGAGAAGATAGTTCAAGGAAGGCATATTAATGTGAATGTGGTTCCCTAAAGCTTTTGAATTACACCCAAAAGGATTTTTTTTAACTCTTTGGGCAGTTACAAGTTGTGAACGTTGATGTTTTGATCACCTGAGGATTTTTTTTTTTTTTTTTTAACGTGATAGCAGTCTCAGTTTTTCTAACTCTGTTCCTAATTGCAGGCATACATCTTCAGCATTGAGGCCAGAGAACTAAACATCTTACATGAAATGAAAGGTAAAAAGGTAATGTCTCCACCTTTGGTATCACCGAGGGCTTTCGTGAATCACCCTGCTGCTTTTCTCAGTGACGGGATCTGGTTTGTTTTGGGCAGCTTGGCTCCTATTTTGGAGCTTCTGTCTGTGCCGTGGACCTCAACGCAGACGGCTTCTCAGACCTCCTCGTGGGAGCTCCCATGCAGAGCATCATCAGGGAGGAAGGCAGAGTGTTTGTGTATATCAACTCTGGCTCAGTAAGTCCAATCACTCACCAGCTACAGGCCGTCTATGATATTATGATACAAACTGAAGTTAGTTCAGGCTTCTGAGGCTATAGATTCTTAGGCTTATTTTACCGATGAAAGTAGAAACTCTGCTATTGTACTAATGCTCTAAAAATGAAATGGAACATTCTGGTGGATGGGAAGCTGTCCCATTTTGACATTCCAGAAGTAGGAAATTAGTTGTTCTGGTGTTTTTCTACTGACATCTTGAACTTCAAGTAAAGTTTCTTTTAGTTTTCTTATAATGCAAATCTCATTTGAAAGAATGATTTTTATCTATCCCTCAAAATGTAGATTTATTATTGGTTCTGTAGTGAATGTCTTTGCTTACAAATATTATCAGAAGTAGAAGATAAAGTAGAAAATGTTTTTAATTTATTTATTTGAAAAGAATAGGAAACAAGATGTGTTTGGATAAAATGTTAATTTACACAATTTATGTAGATGATATTCTTGATATAAGAATATAAGGGAGGCACCCGGGTGGCTCAGTCCGTTAAGTGTCTGGCTTTGGCTGAGGTCATGATCTCGCTGTTGGTGGGTTCAAGCCCCATGTTGGGCTCTGTGCTGACAGCTCAGAGCCTGGAGTCTGCTTCAGATTCTGTGTCTCCCTCTCTCTCTGCCCCTTCCCTGCTCACACTCTGTGTCTGTCTGTCTGTCTCAGAAATATTTAAAAAAAAATTGAAGAATATAAAGGGCACCTGGGTGGTTCAGTCAGTTAAACATCCAACTTGGGCTCAGGTCATGATCTCACAGTTGGTGGGTTTAAGCCTCACATTGGGCTCTGTGCTGACAGCTCAGATCCCAGAACCTGCTTTGGATTCTGTGTCTCCCCCTCTCTCTCTGCCCCTCCCCCGCTTATGCTCTGTCCTTCTTTCCCTGTCTCTCTCTTAAAAATAAACACACATTTTTGGGGCGCCTGGGTGGCGCAGTCGGATAAGCGTCCGACTTCAGCCAGGTCATGATCTCACGGTCTGTGAGTTCGAGCCCCGCGTCAGGCTCTGGGCTGATGGCTCGGAGCCTGGAGCCTGTTTCCGATTCTGTGTCTCCCTCTCTCTCTGCCCCTCCCCCGTTCATGCTCTGTCTCTCTCTGTCCCAAAAATAAATAAACGTTGAAAAAAAAAATTAAAAAAATAAAAAAATAAAAAAATAAACACACATTTTAAAAAATGGGCATAGTTCATTCCAAAGTAGGTACCGTAGGTGTACAAGTAATTACTGCTTCTGGTTGAGTTATAAATTATGGGAGATGTTGTGGAGTAGAAACTAGCCACTTCACAATTCAATTTAAAGAGTTCTGTTGACCTTATCTTGCCAGTCTGTCTTCTTGGCATTAAATAGAAACAAAGAATTGATAGGGCCTTGATGGAGTCTTCTTGGTCTGTTCCTTTGATTTAAGAGAAAGAACGGAATTGTGAGAAAAGTGACTAATTTCTTAAGGCACAGCAATTTTAGTTAGGATTCAACAAAGTAAAATCTGTTTCAAGAAAGTATTTGTAGTCTTAATCAATGGTTTTAGAGCATTTGATAAGGTCCTACATTAAGCACTGGCCTAAACACTTTATTATTTGAGAGTGAATAGTCTTACACAGTTAAAAGATTTTCAAAGTTCCGAATACAGAGCAGCGAAGTTGTTAATTGGGATTCCCTAGACTGTGTTTCCACTTAAATTTAATAGTCAAAGCATATCGTCGACAAAGTGATCATGCATATCTCCTTAACACTGATATCAAGCATTAGGTTTTTTTGCACAGATATTTCACATTCCCCTACTCATAAATGGTCATGTTATACTAGCTACATCCTCATCATGCATACTTCTCTTTAGAAACTAAACTTTTTGAAAACAGCTTAAAAAGTAATCCTATACACCTAAAATAAGGCAGTATGTGATCTTTTTTTTCCTCATTGAAGTCTTAAGCAATCCTAATGGGAAAAACAAATAAAAGTGTGTTCCTTTGATTTAAAGGGCAAGGAAGGAGCTGTACCCGTCAGGCTACCCTCTTGTTCTTCTCTCATTCCTACCTGGAGGCACCACTATTGAACATGGGGTAATTTCATAACTGATTGCAGTTTTTAACCCTTCTGACCTAGGTTATTCTTTCTTTGTTCCCTTCTTACTTCCGATTTGTTACCTCTCTAAAATGGCACTAACCACTGCCTGGCAATATATTAGTTTGGCTTGGTACTGTCTGATCTCCTGGAAGTGTTTTTCTACTGCTGTGTTTTTAAGGTTTGAAAGAGGACTGAAGAAATAGGTGCTCAGTAATTGTTTCTGAATGAACTGAAGGAAGAATGATACTTGAGTGAATCTTGCTTCCACCTGCTTCTACGAAAATAATTCTTAGAGGTCGCCAGAGGTCACCATTTTCTGACTGGAGAATACTTGAAGAGTGATCACTACTTCTTGAAACCCTCTTCGTGGAACTTCAGTGCCTTTCTATTGTTTTAGGTCTATACCTTCTCGTCCTCTCTGGAGCCCATTCTCCCTTCTCTTTAAATTAGGATTTCCCTTGGAGTCCAGCTTTTTCATCCCTTATTCCCTGATAAAATAATTTCTGTTTTCGGTGCCAGTGATTTTTGTCTGCAGAGATGATTCATTAAAAAAAAAAAAAAAAAACACTGAGCAAATATCTGAAATGTAACAAAACCTATGGAAATAGCTGAGAATAATCTTAGTTCTGACCTCTAAGACCTCAAGTCTAGAAAAGACACAAACATGAGAGTAAAGAATTTAAGTTTAGGAGTTGTTTGGTTGGAAAATAAAAGTGGAAGGGTATTTTGTAATCAGAAGGAAAAGAACCTGTGTGATTAGGGGATGATGAAGAGACTTATTTAAGAAGAGGAAAGGATCTATGATGAGTGCATGGATTTTTTTTTTTTCTTAATACAAAGGAGTGACATAATCAGAGTTTAGAAAGAGGTCTGGCAGTTGTTACTGCAGTGGCTCAATATTGCAACATTATTGAATGTCTCCTTGTTTTTTTTCTTTTATTTTTGAGAGACAGAGCACAAGCAGAGGAGGGGCAGAGAGAGAGAGAGAGAGAGAGAGAGACACAGAATCTGAAGCAGGCTCCAGGCCCTGAGCTGTCATCACAGAGCTTGATGAGGGGCTCACACTCACGAACTGTGAGATCATGACCTGAGCTGACCTCAAGTCAGAGGCTTAGCCGACTGAGCCACCCAGGTGCCCCTGAATGTCCCCTTGTAATACCTCGTCTTCCAACTTAAGAGATAGCAGTTGACCAACCCATGTTTCATTGCCGCTAGGATAAGGCTCAAGGCTAGCTTCCGTTGTGCCAACTCCTCAACTCAGAAGCCTTCAGTGGCTTCCTGTTCCCTGAATGGAAGTAAATTTCCCTCAGTATTCAAAATTCCACACCATATTTTTTTTGTTTTTTTTTTTTTTTTTTTTGTCTCCTTCGTTCTACATACCATTCATAACAGCCAAATTCTTTGGAAATTTGTTTTGCTGATTATATTCTCTGCATATTAAAATTATGTCCATCCTTCAACAGCCACCTTGAATACCATCTCTTATGAAATCTCTCCTTGCTTTTACAATTAGATATGCTGTTCTTGAAAATACAAAGCAGTCTGTGCTTCTCCGTCATTTCCATGTTCGTGCTAAGCCTTCCATGTAACTGGGCTTCTTCAGGAAGGGGAGACTGTCTCCTACATACACTGCTTGGTCCTCGTTGGCCTCTTTCCTCTTTGCACAGTGCATTGCCTTTAGTAGGAACTCAATAAATATTTGCTAAATTGAATTATCAAAATGATTTATTGGATTTTCAAAGCCAGGGATCATGAGTTCGACAATTTTTATGTCCTCTGAGCTCTAATCATACTATTATATGTGTTGACATACTTGATAAATATTTATTGAATGGAACGGAGATGTGTGTACTAAAGCTCAGTCTGTAGTTTGTCCAACTTGTTTGAAGCATTAGAAAAAATCCATATCCAATTACAACAGTAAATCATGTGTAAAGTTGTCAGAGAGGGTTATAATGACATCTTTTCTCCCCTTTTCTGTCTAGGGAGCAGTAATGAACGAAATGGAAACAGAGCTCCTTGGAAGTGACAAATATGCGGCAAGATTTGGGGAATCTATTGTTAATCTTGGAGACCTTGACAATGATGGCTTTGAAGGTAATGAAAAGTATCTAATTTGGTACTTGACTTCTGCTTTTAAAATGGAACATGGAAAATAATATGATTGGAGTTTTAAGTTGTTAGCCTTTCTATAGAAAATGGAGCCAAAATGTTACGCTAAGCTCATTTTCTTTTTGGTGTTATACCTGACTTCTCCTCACTGGTTAATTATTCTTAATTGATTGCAGACTCATTAGACCAGGCTATTTAACTCTATGTACAGTAAAGACACTGACAAGACCCAACAGAGGCTGGCTGCAGAGCTGGAGCAGGGTTCTAGAAGACCCCGTTGTGCCAGGCATCCCTTGTTCAGGTGCTACGTTGTGGGACAATTTGGTGAATGGCAGGAGAGCACGTTTAGCAGTAGTGAGGGGCAGCCGGCAGACCCAGTAATATTGGCTATTGACCAACTTATATGGAAGCCACTCCCTAATGCACTAGATAGTTCTGTCATAACTGTGCCTATTGCCTGGATATCAGCCCTGCTGTTGAAATACCTGTGTCTACCAGCCTTTCCTCTTAAAATTTACTTTTTTCAGTCTAATACGGAATGATAACCAAGTCTGGTAAAATTGTGCATAGGATGATGAATGGGTTTGAAAGGAGGGTGTGCAATTTGTGGAGTTCAGCAAATAAGTATTTGATATTTTCAGGGCTCAGAATTGTCTATCTTAATGTAATCATTAGCAATTGGCATATGGTAATAAGTTGAAACTGAGTTGGATACAGGAAATAGATGAGGGGGTACTATAAGTTCTTGCTTAATTTTTTTAATACCTCTTACGCCAAAAGGCTTCACTCTAATTGTTTAAAATGTGTTGGTCTTTGGGGTGCCTGGGTGGCTCAGTTGGTTGAGCGTCCGACTTTGGCTCAGGTCATGATCTTGCAGTCTGTGAGTTTGAGCCCTGCATTGGGCCCTGTGCTGACAGCTCAGAGCCTGGAGCCTGCAGCCTGCTTCAGATTCTGTGTCTCCTTCCCTCTCTGACCCTCTCCCACTCATGCTCTGTCTCTTTCTCTCTGTCAATAATAAATAAACATTAAAAAAATAAAATGTGTTGGTCTTCAAGAAGAAAGTTAGTGGGATACTGACTATATATTTTGAATACTTTGAATATACATTGAATAGATATCACATATTGAATATATGGACTCTATTAAATGTAAGAGTATAATTTGGTATACAAATATTACCATTTCTAGAGTTTTACTATCTTATTAAAAATAAAGGAAATTAAGTATATATTTTTAAGGTTATGGTTACATGTAAGCTTTACATTAAAACTTCTATAAGGTTTTATTATGCTGTATTTCACAAGAGTCAGCAATTCTGATGTTTATTGAGCACTTACTTTGTGTCAGATGTACCATGCCAGGTGGAGAGTATATGCCATAATAAATGTAAACAAAAGAAATAGTGACACCCTTTTCTATAATTCTAAAATCAAATGGAATATAAAATTAAGACATTAAAAAAACCTTAGGTGGTGAAATTTAAGGAATTTACCTAATAAATATCTATGGATAAAGCCATGTTTATGCACCTTGACATTTCATAGATATTATGAGGTAATGCAGTTCTTTCCTTGAAAAAGAAAATCATTCAGTAAGATACCTACTTTGTTATGATTCCTTATACATCTTGTTTTAATTGACACATTTGAGGAAGACCATTTGCTGTTTTGAATGTACTAAAATAAAACATGGGTGAGTGCACATGAGAAGTGTGTTTTTTTTTTTGTTTTTTTTTTTGTTTTTTTTTTGTGGCATCAAAATGTCAATGACAAACCTGAATTCTTAAAATCAGATATAGTGGTAAAAAGGTCATGGACATTACTCCTGTAGCGAGGAGAATCCCAGGCAGTTTTCCAGTGGCGTGTGAAGGACAGAAAGTGTTCTGTCCATGAGACTTAGGAAGAAGAACTAGGGGAGACCTTGGGGGTACGAGGCGGTCTTCCAGACTGCATGTGACAACCTAGGTTTCAGACAGCACTTTGTGTCCTAAAGTCTTCGGCTCTTGACTCCTAAAGGTAATGGCTTTATGTGTTCTATTCAAACACATATGATTATATGATTTAGGATTCTATTCAAATGATTATTTCTCATATTTCAGTATATTTTTGTGCTATTACAATTTCATTTGTAATTTACCTCATATTTACATTTAGTGACTCTATTAATGCTGATTCACTTCAGTGCATGCTTGTTTATCTTTTTCTACTTTATCAGTTCTAATTTTTTTTTTAGTCTTATTGAGATGTGACTGAAATACATCGTGTAAGTTGAAGGTATACAACAGAATGACTTAATATATGGATGTAGTACAGAATGATTACCACCTTGCGTCTAGTTAACATCTATTCCCTCACAGTTAATTTTTTTTCCTTGTGATAACTTAAGATCTACTCTCTTAGCAACTTTGAAATAGATGATACAATATCGTTCACTCTAGTCATTACACTGTACCTTGCATCTCCAGAACTGTATCTTAGAACTAGAAGTTTGTACCTTGACCTTTTCACCCAATTCCCCCTACCCCTCAGCTCTGGCAACCACCAATCTGATCTGTTTCTGTGAGTCTGATTTTTTTTAGATTCCACATGTAAAAGTGAGATCCTACCGTGTTAGTGTTTCTGACTTATTTCACTGAGTAAAATGCCCTGAGTTCATACATGTTACCACAAATGGCAGGATTTATTTCTTTTTTATGGCCAAGGTAGCCTTTTATTTTTGCCAATGAGTAAGCATTTTGCACGTTTTCGATCTTAACAAGACTGTGCTGATTTGCAAGTGGGCTCAGCGTGTTGTACTTCTTCACTGAGGTTTTTAATTCTTCTCTACCATATCTGCCTCGGTGAGAAAGCAAGGAACCTTGTCTTGTATTGATTTCCCTATTCTTTTACCGCATCTTCTATCTTATTTAATTATTCTGGAGTAGATGGGTGAAGTTACTTTTTGTTCATGGCAGTGTGTGGGATTGTGTAGAAAGGGGATGAAAATCTCACCTGTTCTTTTTCCTTCCACGTCCAGTCATAGATGCAAACAGACTTAAAGTCCTTACTATTCACACTTTCGTGGTGCTTTGTAGAGGAGACAAGTTATTTTTGCATTCATTATATCCTGTCCTTTTTCTTTTTTTAATTCAATAGGAAAAATCAGGCTGAATTTCCTGTGTACTTAGAAAAGCAACGAAGGCCATTTTCTAAGGAGATAACCAATTTGGCAAGAGTCCAGCATAAAAATCTCATCAATAGTGTGAGGAAGTTAGGGAATAGGTACATGAATAAACCTACATGATGGACACAACTGACAGCATTTTGGATTTCATCCATAAAATTGATACGGAAAAACCACTTATATTTTGGCTTAAGTTTTTTCACCTTGAGCATTGACTTCTAGACTGTATGTTTGAATATTTTTTAAGCAGAGCCATAATGAAGTATAAGCTGTGTATTTATGTGCCCCTGAAATGTTGATATATTATCATGTCATTAATTGAGCAGTTCTTTTGACTTCAGGAGTTTGCAGGAGAGGAAAACACTGGAGATAGTCTGTAGTGTTCATGATTCCATAGAGCATGGTTGATGGGTGAACACAGGCTCTGGGAGCCAGACCGCAGCGCTTATATCCCAGCTTCTTCATATCCTAGCTCTGTGCCCTTTAGCAAGTTACACTCTGTGCCTCAGTTTCCTCATCTACATTGGAATCAAAAAGTACTTATTTGATAAAGTTTAAGAGTTACATGAGAAAAGCCCCTACTACAGTGCCTGCATTATAATAAAATTGTGTTTATTTCCATTGTTAGCTGATGTTAAAATTATTTTGATTATGCCAATAATTGTTACAGTTTGCACTAACAATGAAATAAAATGTTCTAAAAATTGTCAGTGTTTTGCTCTATATGTTGTGTCCCAAACTGACTTGGATAGGCATGAAAAAAACATTATTAATAATACGTATTTTCCTTATTCCTGTAACGTTTGCTAACATTCAGTATGTTCTGTAACAGATCCAAATGTAATCATAGGAAATAAGAATTTGGATCTATATATAAGAAAGGAAAAAACTGAATATAGTCCACAAGTCTTCTGCTTGAAATGACATTGATTTGGGCTTTTTTATATTTCATTTGAAAGGGCACATCTGTATCGTGTCAAGACTTGTGCCTTTCATCACTAGTGCTAGTGACTTATTGCGAGAATTTCTGTATGTCAACAGCTTCATAGCCCCAGGCTCGTTAGCTTTACGTATCATCGAGAATGAAGATCCAGGACTCTAGTTTACTAATGATGTAGCCATAGTAGTTGAAGTATAAACCAGCCCTGACTACTGAGATCTGTGACAGGTCTTGCCTTCAGTGGCCACGGGATGCTTTCCCCCCACTCCTTCCCTTACCTCCCTCTTCCTCTCTCCTCTCTCTTCCTTCCCACTCCTTCCCCTTATGTACCTGTGAGTATTTAGTTTGCACAGGTATGGCTCCAGCTATTTCAAACTCATTGCCATTGTTCCTGTGTCCCATGCTGCCCCTTAGTCCCCTGTCATGATGCAGGCTATTGTCTCTGTCTAAACTACCTTTACCCTTTTTTTTTTTTTTCTCACCTGGCTATGACCTGTCACTACTTTAATCTCGGCTTAGGTGTCCTCTTCTATGTGAAGCCTTTCCTCATTTCTACCACCTTCTCATATGTGGTGCGTTTATTCTGGTTTTACGTTCTCTTCTTCCCTGCTAGACCACAGTCCCTTTTCATGGCCCTCTCCTGTAAGGCTGGTTTCTGTCAAATGCCCAGAATACAGTAGGTGCTCAATAGTTTTCCACTGATTAAATCAACAAATGGGTATAATTGCACATGAGGATTTAAAATAACTGGCACAAGTGAAAAGAGCGCAACCTTATTATGTTTAAACAATATATAAAGTATGTCTATTATTTACTTTTAGATGCCATTAGAAATTGTACAACATTTGGCATAGAATCATATCAAAGAGGTATTTATTCTCATTGAAATAGCAGTCAGCAATTACCACCGTAGCTGTTAAAAAGTTTTCAGATCTGATAAACTAAGAAGTATTGACTATCATGAAAGCAAACTTGCTGTATTTTGGGTTTCTATGAAAGTAATAAGAAAACATTGTATGTAAATGAACCTATGACTAAACCCAAATAAATGTAAAACTAATGAAATGCTCTTGCAGCTGTAGAAAATTATTTTTCTCCTGTGTGTTGTATATTTATGGCCCTTAAGCAATCATGTCCTTCCTAGTTTGTTTTCTTTTGCTTATGTCAGTTGATGAACTCTTTTATTTTTTCTCTTGGCATCATAACCTGATACGAATCTCCATAAAGTCGTAAAGATGATGTAGTCATTACTTTACAGAACAAATTCAGTTTCTGAAATCCAGTTTGCATGTTTATACATGGGTGGGTGGATACAGATGTTCTTAACAAATACCTTAATTACTTTCATTAGAACAGGAATTTAGAGGTCATTTGCAAATAAAGTAAAACCCAGAGCTCAAAACAAGGACTCTTATGGTTATAATATTCACAGATGATAATTTATTATGTGCTCAGGTCTGCTCTAAGCACTGTACATGAGTTATGTCCTATGCTGAGGGTGAGTTCTCTCATGATCCCAGGCTATCTGTGAAGGAACTGAGACACAGGTTAAGAAGAGGGCCCTGCTGGGGGTCATGCTTTGGTGGTTTGGCTCTAGAGGCTGGGCCCTTAACCATTACTAGAGTGTCTTTCAGAGCCATTTGCTCTTCTTCTTCCATGCACAGACTGTTTTATACCATTCTGCACATTGTTATGATGATGGATGCATCTTGTGATGTTTGTTTTCTGTGTAGTGAGTATTCATTTCTTGATAAGGAACTTTCATATGTGATATGAATTAAGTAGCATGAAAGTCTTCAGAGTTGCATTCTTTCTATTAAGAATTCATTTTTTCTGCCATTTAAATCCTTGAACAGATGTTGCAATTGGAGCTCCACAGGAAGATGGCTTGAGAGGTGCTATTTATATTTACAACGGCCGAGCAGATGGGGTCTCACCAACGTTCTCACAGGTAGGATACTATTCTGCTTTCAAGAGAAGCATTGATGATAAACGGTTCCTGAAACTTCCAGGGTTAACGTAGATTTATTTTTCTTAATTTCCTCTTTCAAGTACTTAATGTATTCTATTTCACCCTTTTTCTCATAATAACAGTAGTTGGTCTCATTTTGAAGGTCATTAATAACTCTTTGGAATCACATGTTTTCTCCATAACTAGGAGTTCTGGTTCACATCCATTCTAGTTTGTATTTAATCTAGTGAGGATTTCCTCTGGGGGCTCTTGGGTGGCTCCACCTCTTGATTTCGGTTCAGGTCGTGATTTCTTGGGATTCTCTTCCTACCTCTCTCTCTGCCCCTGCCTCCCTCACACACATGCATGCGTGCTCTCTCTCTTGCTCTCAAAATAAATAAACTGAAAAAAAAAATATTTCCTCTGCATTCCATCAAATTTATGTTCTGAGATAGTATCCGTACTCTTTCAGATAAGCCCATGTGGATTTGATTAACTGTGTCTTGCAGTGTGCCTAAAGCCCCATGTTTCAGGGAGGTCGCACAGGGAGAGCAAACACATGATACTCTGATTCTTTCAGGAAGCAGCCGCAAGATGGGAGCTTTTAATAAAGTTCCCTGGTCTAACTCTGACTTGACTTTTGTCTTTCGATAAATCGGGGTATTTCAGTGTATAGGAAACACTCCATACATATGCAGAGAAGAAAAGTTTTTCCAAAGATCTTTTTGTGGAAATATTAGCTAATACTGTTATTCTTGATTGAGCAAAATAGGTAAATGGTTCTCCATATTGAACATGAAACCTCTGTACTTGTCTAGTAAAAACTATTGACTTTCTTAGTATGAATAGTGGCCAGACACGAATAAATCTATCCGGATGTGAAATTAGACCTATGGAATAGGAAACACGTGTCTGATGTCAGTTGTCACACGCTAGGAAGCAGTCTGGCCAAATGGGGTGGCTTTCATCATAAGCCTGAGTAGTAGGGAAATAAATACAAAGCCTGAAAGAAGACTGGGGGGAGAGAGAGAGAGAGTCAGGACTGTTTAAGATCCCTTCTGTATAATTTTCTCTTTGTGACTTTTTCTAGTCAGAAAGTGATTTTTTTCTTGGCAAAAAATAGATGTTATCTGCCCAACTCAAGCTGGCAACTTTCATTTCTTTTAGATGCAAGTATTTGACTTAAATGCATTTTGTTACTAAATGTGCCTAGGTGTTGTAAGGCTCATGATTTAACTAGATCATTGCTGCTTTGAGATATTCTTTGAGATATTTGAGTGTTAAAAAACTGCTTCCTACTTACCGATTTTTCAGAGAATTGAAGGACTTCAAATCAGCCAATCATTAAGTATGTTTGGACAGTCTATATCTGGACAAATTGATGCAGATAATAATGGATATGTAGGTGAGTATTAAATTGACTATTTCATAAACTGAAATGAGCTCTATTGGGGTGTTGTCTTATTACAAAGTACATAGAACTGGTATGGAAAAGTCCTAATTTACTGGTAATTTGTTTCTTTCCTTTTTAAAGCTTTTTTGAATGCAAGGATGGGTCAGAAATGATCAAATAATTAGTCAGTTGTACCGTGTTAGTTACTTGACATTTTATTCCTTGTTCTTGAAAAAATGAAAGGCACCCATGAAAATCAAACATGAGGTGCTGGAAAAAAAGACACTTTTTTGTACCTTGAGAGGAGATTCCTGGGTGACTGTGTAGTCTAAACGTTGAATTTTTTAGTAAACTTTATAAGTTTTTATCATAAAGTTTGTTTACATTATAAAGGGATGAATGTTATTACAGATGAATAGACTCAGATAAATGTGGAGTGAATCCTAAGATGTTAAGTATATCTTTTGTAATTAATTTTCTGTAAATAGTGTTTTGATACAGTCATAAGGTGATACATAGGTATTTGTGGCTGGAAAGCAATTCTCTTTGACTAATGATGTTCATTAATCTGTTGTTTTTAATCCTCCAGATGTGGCAGTTGGTGCTTTTCGGTCTGATTCTGCTGTGCTGCTGAGGTAAGGTTGATGCATTTCACTGCTTAATGACAATTGGGCTTAATTGTAAATGATGGGAGGCAGTTTTTAAAATTGGCAGTTGTGGTGACCTCATAATGCTTTTTTCTTGGTATTATGAAATTTTATTGAACTTTAGGATTGTATTTCCATCTTACGTGGCTATTATAATTAAATCCTCAGGCAAAGCCAGTATTTTTAGAAACTCAAATGAAAATTTCTCTTGATTCATTCACAGAAATGTAATTGAGTATATATGCACTTTCTACTAATAAGGCAGTTTCATGAAGTTACTTGGTCAATGGAAACTGAAAAAACAAATCCAATTTTTTCTAAAGGAAAAGTAATATTGCTAATTTTATTTCCTTCTTAGGACAAGACCCGTAGTGATTGTTGAAGCTTCTTTAAAACATCCTGAGTCAGTAAATAGAACAAATTTTGACTGTGTTGAAAATGGATTGCCTTCTGTGTGCATGGATCTAACACTCTGTTTCTCATACAAGGGCAAAGAGGTTCCAGGTTATATTGGTAAGGATGGCCTTACAGAATTTACCCTGAGTGTGTACTTCACTCATTAATCTCATGGTCGTCTTCTGAGCCCTGACATTGTTTCACCTTAGAGGTGAATACTCCCTTCGGCCTCATCTTTTGGATTCTCAAGTTACTCTAACCAATGAGTGGGCAACAGTAAGAGGCTGTATATAGTTTTCTGAAAATTATGACAAGTAAATCAGGAGTATCACCTTGCTGTGTTGGGGTGAGCTAAACTGAGCTTAATATATGAAATATGTTTAGAATAGAAAGAACATTACCACAGCTTCTTCTTTGTTTAACTGGGCTCCTTTCACAGCTGGAGCTGGCTTAAATTGGAAGTCCTGAGAGGGAGATTGTTCTCTTTATATTTTGTCTTTTGAGTGAGTGAAGAAGCTTATCTCAAACCTAGACGTTGATTTCAATTTCCATAAATAACACACATCTCTTGAGGATTTCCTGTGACTGTCAGCTTCTGAGACCCATGTCCATTCCCTTTATAAAGGTAGCTCTCAGTTGCCCGCTCTGGAGAAGAGAGTATTGATAGGGCTCATGCAAAATTGTGGTTAATCTCAAATCACATATATGTGACTTTATACACATTAAATTTTTTTCTAGCAGGTTATGTTCCTAATTATGTTATACTTAAGCTAGTATTAGAATAACTACTAGTGAAACTAGCCAATGGTAGGAGAGTGGCATACTTGGGTTTATTATTTGGACATTAAAATTAGATAAACTTCATGAGCCACCCAGGACCTATCCAGAGTTGATTGTATTCATGACCCTGCAGACTCTCATCATCTAAACATCACAAAGGGCAGCAAATACATCGAATCAAACTATGGATATGTAACAGAAATCTCCTTCTGAATCAGCCTACAATGAGAGGTATAGAATGAGCGTAGTGTATCTACTTTAGAACAGACTCACTTTTCATTGTGCACTGCAGAAGTCCTGGCTAGGCATACAGTAGTAGGAAAGTGGGCAAAACTTTAACCTGGTTACAAGAAGTGGCATTTTCAGGGCATGACCCCAGAAACACAGACAAATTGATGGATTAGCTGAAAGACCGACGTTGAGTTGGTACGACTATCTCCCTTTATGTAAAATCCGTGTTTGTTGTACTACTGATTCCGTTGTGACCAGATATTTTTAAAAATGGTTGAAAACAAATGTATGACACTCGTAAATAATCACAGCGCTGTTACAAAAGCAAGCTTTAGAGTTGCATAGAATGAGTCCTTGGGAGAAATAATTCACATGGTAAGCATTTTTCATAAAAGCCGATGTTTTGCCACTTACTGTGAATGGATTTTTATTCACCCTTTTTTCCTTTACTTTTTGCCTGAACTCTTGGTGATGAATTGTGGATGGCTGTTTCAATTACTCTTTCATCTCTGAGACACTGAATCTCCGCTATTGTAATTTTGAAGCCAATCGATTGGGACTCCATTGTTTATTTTATAAATAAAAGTCAGGTTAAAAGATTTATTTGAAACTTGTAGGAGTAATACAGGTTTTACCCTTATGTTTCCTTGAAAAAAGTAGATAAAATCGCTCCGAAAGAATAAGTTACTCCCAAGATGTAAATGAAAACTTCAGGAATTATATAAATTCTTTAAAATATCACTTATGAATTTATTGCTCCTATATAATGAGCGATATCTCAGCAGACTGTTAATGTAGCTTGTTTTGCAAAGAATTCTTTTAGATTAAAAAAATCGCTCTTTCTTTGTAATATCTGTCTTGGAATTTTTTTGGATACTTATTAGATTTCCTTATATTTTTGCTTGTTGAGGACATTCTTCAGCAGATGATTGTCTACTATGTGATATTTGAAGTAAATATTACTAAACTGCCAGAATATTTATTCAGAAGATGTCTATATTTGGCACAAACCAGCACTGGAAGGTCAAACTGGAAACCAATAAAAACATGGAGGAGACTAATCAGGGTCTAGGGCTGGAAAAGGAGACGCCTTTGGGTGAACTGTTTATATAGGTTTGACTTTTGAACAATTTGTTCACTTTTCATTTTGAAAAATAATAAAAATCAATCACCTCTCAAGTCAGAAACAACAATGAACCCCACCGTGTATAATTAGTGATATGTGATACGTGAGTGCAGTATTCTGTCTGTGGCTCTTTAGTTGGACAGTCTAAGAACAGAAGGATTCCAAAGAAATATGAAACTTAGAACTTTTATGAGTAGTTACAATTTTAGTATTGTAGTTTTGAAACATATATAGGAAGATTAAGTAAATACCTGAAGATGGTAACAGTTAAAACTAGAAACCTAGAGAAAAGCTGATTGATATTTTATAACAATTTTTTCAACTTGTGTTTTCAATATGTGCCGTCTTCCAGATTTCAGGTTAGTTTTGAAAAGCCACTGAAATAAGAAAATACTGGATATCATTTTGACTATTTTCATTTCAAAAATAATAAATGCTTTTAGGTACTTATTTGCATGAACTGCAATTCTCTCTACATTTTTGCAGTTTTGTTCTATAACATGAGTCTGGATGTGAACCGGAAGATAGAATCTCCATCAAGATTTTACTTTTCTTCTAATGGAACATCTGATGTGATTACAAGCAGCATGAAAGTGTCAAGCAAAGTAGCTAACTGCAGAACACATCAAGCATTTATGCGGGTAATGTAGACTAGTTTTTTATCAATGAATGTGTAAACTCCAGTATTACCACTACAGTGAAAATCTTACTGCATTGGTATCTTTTTATAAAATGTGGTTTAAAAGCAGATGTGATTCCCTCCTGAACTAGCTGGCCTATTGTTACAGGGTTAGGATGTTCAGCAATCCTGTGATGTGGCTAATGCAGAGTCCTCATTTTGCATCTTCTTTATTTCACGTTTATCACATTTTTACTGTGTCATTCTTTCTAAAGATTTGCCTTTTCCTTTCTACAATTGCTATTTTCCTATCCCTGCTTTATATGCTTCCCTAGAAATGTACATATTGAGTAGCTCTGCTGAGCCTGAGATCTGTTTCCAGGTAGGTTTTTCTTGACAGGGGTGTGGTAGGGAAGGGTAGGGTGGGGGCAGGGAAGTTGGTTTGTTTTTCCTGTGACTCTAATGAAGCAGAAGCCATCGTGACTGTGTTTGGATCAGGTCTTTGTCCCCATGCCAGCATTGTTAGTGATGTCAGTGGGAACTCGCACAGTTGCAGCATGGTAGGGATCATCTGTGGGCCAGGACAATGACTCTCAAGATGTTTGGGGGTATGTCCTGCCAAAGCACAGCCAGTTTCATGTTTCTTTTATTAAAATACTCATTCCCAAACTGACCATCACGTTCCTTGCGTTGGTCAAATTTTATCCTATGGAGCAGTGCCAGGTCGTTTTCATTAGGGAATGGTGTACTTCATCAGAAAATCTACGGCCACAAAGAAGCCAAACTATTCCCAGGAGCCCCTTCTGGGATTGCAAATAGTAGCCTCCGCTTAGAACTTAATTTTCCCTTGGATACTTATTCCAAGCAAATGCAAACAAGCATCAAGGTTCTAACACTATTAAATGCTAAGAGCAATAATCCCTATGCTATTTCCTCATTTCCCTTAACACTTTTTATTGTACTAGAATAAAGCTATGAGATGGTTGAGAACCAAAAACATAGAATGATACTAATGTAACCATCATTTATATGTTAGGCATGAAAGAGGGATTTTTTAATACTGTATAGTTGAGGTTGTACTTAGTCTCCAAAATTGACTCACCTATCATTGAGACCATTTTCAAGGCAGTAAAAGGGCTGACATTAGACATTTGCAAAGAAACATTGTGTTGAATTTGTATGACAGGAAATTGATCTGACTTACTTAGTTACTCCTGTGTTTCTTGGCATTGTTCCAACAAGTAAGAGTTCATCAAAAATTGTGTATTTTCGTTGGGATACATTTGTAGTAGAAATGACAATTTAGCAGAGGTTTCTTGACACACACTTGTAATGTTACCCTGGTGTTGATGGTAGCAGGTTAACAGCGATTGACTTTCGGCCATATTGTCAATGTCAAACAAAAGCATTTACCTCTGGGATTGGTACACAGTAGGGACTTTTTAAAAAGTGATTGAAACCATTATTAAAATTAAAACAGGTCTAGTTGTTATTCAGGAAGGTATGGGAAGATAATGAGTGCATTGTCCATTCCCACCGGTAACTGGAGGTATTTCACCATGCTAATACTACTGTGCTTCTAGAGTCCAAAAGAACCTGATACTCTTTTTTTTTTTTAATTTTTAGAAGATGTATATTTATTTTGAGAGGGTGAGAGAGAGAGAGAGAGAGAGAGAGAGAGTTGGAGAGGGGCACAAGCAGGCTCCACACTGTCAACAGAGAGCCTGTTGTGGAGCTCGATTTCATGACTCTAGAATCATGACTTGACCTGCAATCAAGAGTCAGACAATTAACTGATTGAGTGACCCAGGCACCCCAGAAACTGATATTATTCTGCCTTCTTAATGATAGTAAAAAAAGAAGAGCAGTGGTCAGGACGCTTGGATTGTCTGTCCCTTTGTTCCATAAAACTTGTCCAGTATCAGGAATATTAATGGTCATATTCTACTTCAACGTCACTTACAATGAAGTGAGGTACACTTGTTAATTATGTGGCCTGGCCCACAGCCTCCACTTCTCACAGGACTCTCTGTCTGCCAGTTGGGCACACTTTCCTCCTATGGTTCTTGGCATTGGTCATACCAGATAAGCTCCACTTAATTGAGTAGGTATTTGAGTACCAACATTCTGTTTGAGACACTTGTATATATCAATGAATGAAATATAAAGAGATTACTGCCCTCACCGTGTTCATAGTCTAGTGGAGTGAGGTAAACAACATGATAAAAATGTAAATTTTAGACTATTTTATAAGATAAACATGATCAAAAAAGAAAAGGGCAGGGGCGCCTGGGGGGCTTGGTCAGTTAAGCGTCCGACTTCGGCTCAGGTCACAGTCTCACAGCTTGTAGGTTTAAGTACCACGTCAGGCTCTGTCCTGACAGCTCGGAGCCTGGATCCTGCTTCGAATTCTGTCTCCCTCTCTCTCTGCCCCTCCGTCCTTCCCTCCCTCCACCTGTCTGTCTCTCTGTCTCTCTCTTTCTTTCTCTCTTTCTCTCTCAAAAATAAATAAACATTTAAAAATTTAAAAAGGGCAGAGTACAGGAAACTGTGGAGTGCTGGAGAAAAAATGAAGGGTGCATTTTATTTTATTTTTTTAAGTATAATTTACACACAGTGTTAGTTTTAAATGTTTTATATAATGATTCAATCATTCTGTGCATTAGTGATGATCACAAGTGTCCTGTTTTTAAAATTTTAACTCCAGGGTAGTTAACATGCAGTGTTTCACTAGTTGCAGCTGTACAATGTAGTGATTCAACGGTTCCATATGTTACTCAGTGCCCATCAGGATAAGGGTACACTTAATCCCATTTATCTGGTTCACCCATGTCCCCAACCTCTCTCCCGCTGTTCTCTATACTTCAGAGTCTGTTTTTACCTCTTTTTTTTCTTTGTTTTGTTTCTTAAATTCCACAAATTAGTGAAATCATATGGTATTGGTCTTCCTCTGACTTACTTTATTGAACATCCTACCCTCTAGGTCCATCCATGTTGTTGCAAATGGCAAGAATGCATTCATTTTTATGGCTAATATTCCAGTGTGTGTGTGTGTGTGTGTGTGTGTACACATGCTACATCTTTATGCATTCGTCTATCAGTGGACACTTGGCTTGCTTCTATGTCTTGGCTATTGTAAATAAGGTTACACTAATCATATGGGTGCATATTTTTTTTGAATTAGTGTTTTCATTGTCTTTTGGTAGATATCCAGTAATGGGATACCTGGATCATATGGTAATTCTATTTTTAATTTTTTGAGGAACCTCAATACTGTTTTCTAATAGGCTGCATTAGTTTGCATTCCCACCGGAAGTCCCAAGGGTTCCTTTTTTCTCTACATCCTCACCAACTCTTGTTTTTCTTGTGTTTTTGATTTTAACCATTGTGACAGGCTTGAGGTGACATCTCATTGTGGTTTTGATTTGTATTTCCCTGGGGATGAGTGATGTTGAACCTAGTTTGTTCTTTCTCAAGATTACTTTGGCTGTTTGGGGTCTATTTTGGTCCCATACAAATTTTAGGTTTATTCTAGTTCTGTGAAAAATGCTTTTGGCACTTTTATAGGGATTGTATTGAATCTAGATTGCTCATGTGTCTGTTGGCCATTTGTATGTCTTCTTGGGAAAAATGTCTATCCAGTTCCTCTGCCTGTTATTTAATTGGATTTTTAAAATTTTTGGTGTTGAGTTGCTTAAGTTCCTTATGTAGTCTGTATATTAACCCCTTATTGGGTATATCATTTGCAAATAGCTTCTCTCAGTAGGTTTTTTTTTTGTTTGTTGATTGTTTCTTTTGCTGTGCAAAAGCTTTTTATTTTGGTGTAGTCCCAGTAGTTTATTTTTGCTTTTATTTCTCTTGTCTCAGGAGACAGGTCTAGAAAAATGTAGCTACAGCTAGTTTCAAACACATTACTACCTATATTTTCTTCTAGTTTTATGGTTTCAAGTCTTTCATTTAAATGTTTAATTCATTTTGAGTTTATTTTTGTGCATGATGTGAGAAAGTCCAGTTTCATTTTTTTGGCATGTAGCTATTCAGTTTTCTCAGTACTATTTGTCGAAGAGGCTGTCTTTTCCCTATTGTATATTCTTGTGGGTTTATTTCTGGGTGCTCTACTCTGTTCCATTGATCTATGTATCTATTTTTATGCTAGTACCATACTGTTTTGATTGCTACAGCTTTGTAATATAACCTGAAATCTGGAATTGTGATACCTCCTAGTTTGTTCTTTCTCAAGATTACTTTGGCTGTTTGGGGTCTATTGTGGTCCCATACAAATTTTAGGTTTATTCTAGTTCTGTGAAAAATGCTTTTGGCATTTTTATAGGGATTGTATTGAATCTAGATTGCTCTGGGTAGTATGAACATTTTTTTTTTATTGGTTTCAGGAGTAAAATTTAGTGACTTATCACATACATATAACACCCAGTGCTCATCACAAGTGCCCTCCTTAATGCTCATCACCCATTTATCCTATCCCCCCCCCCACCTCCCCTCCAGCAAACCTCAGGTTGTTCTCTGTATTTAAGAGTCTTTTATGGTTTGACTCCTTGTTTTCATCTTCTTTTATTTTTCCTTCCCTTCCCCTATGTTCATCTGTTTTGTTTCTAAAATTCCACATGAGTGAAATTATTTGATACTTGTCTTTCTCTGACTTATTTCACTTCGCTTAGCATAACACACTCTAGTTCCATTCATGTTGCTGCAAATGGCAATTTCCTTCTTCCTTCCTTCCTTCCTGATGGCCAGTTAATATTCCTTTGGGTGTGTGTGTGTGCACATCTTTTTTATCCATTCATTAGTCGATGGACATTTGGTCTCTTTCTATAGTTTGGCTAATGTTGATAGCACTGCTGTAAACATTGGGGTGCATGTGCCCCTTCAAATGAGCATTTTTGTATCCTTTGGATAAATCCCTAATAGTGCAATTGCTGGGTTGTAGGTAGTTCTATTGTTAACTTTTTGAGGAACCTCCATACTGTTTTGCAGGGTGGCTGCACCAGTTGGTATTCCCACCAA